GGATGGATGTTGGAAAGGGAGGGGAAAAGGTGTAGGCAACAATCCTGGAAAGTGTCAGGAGAAGCAAGGAGAGAAGAGGATGGGGAGCTGGAGTAGACGGTGAAGGAGAATGCAGAGGCTTAGATACCCATAATGAGAGAGACTGCAGAAGTACCTAAGAATGCTAGAAACAGTTCATGTCACGCAACCTTACAATAGGGATATTTTAATTGTTTTATCCATTTGTTCATTTCTTGTTATCTTATATCAAATAGGCAACTCTCATGATTGTATTGTGAGTCATGATATTTTTTGTTTTTCTTAAAGCCCCAGCTCTTGGAATCATATAATAACATTAGAATCTCAGCTTTCATTTAAAGGGGGGAGGGAGGGAGGGAGGGAGGGAGGGAAGTTCTAGCCCTAATGATTGCAGAGAAAAGCTTGAAAACATCAATCCTGAAACCACAAAAATTAAAAAGCAAATAAAAAGAGCCTGAGTTTGTTATTTTTAAAAATCTCATTAGTTTCAAGTTAATCTTTTTTATGGGAGGGGGCTTAACTTGTGGATTTTTAAATGTTTTGGGCTGGCAATGTGGAATGGGTTTGGAACAAAACTACTGGGTGACTTTCACTTGTTGAGACAGAACAAGCACTCAGCAGGTCATTCCTGACATTCCTGAAAATACAGAGTGATCCATCAGTGTTTATTGGGTAAGAAAGAATACAGAATAAGGTAGTTTTAAAAACACTGGTAATAATACACATTGGTAAAAAATGTGATGACTGCTTAAATATATAACTCCCTTAAATGACAACTCCAATTATATGGGATAGAATTATCAGTGATGTAAATATTGGGGCCTAAGTGCTAAAGTAGTCTAAGTTGCACACCTGATAAATACCAAGTTATCACAAAAGGAGTCTAACTCCTTGTAGTCTCGTGGGTGGTAGGTGGGGAGAGTAGGAAATCTGGAGGGGGGGGGGGGGGTTTGTGATCAATCAGAAAGAAGTTATTCCACGGGTGCGAAAAGGTGAATTTCTCACTAACGCAAGACCAACTGTGGTCCAGGAAGTCATAAAGGGACTAAGAGGATGGTGCAAGACAAAGAAGTTCACCAACCCTACTGTAACTTACATCTGAACAAATGCATTCCCAAGTGCACTCACAAAGCTCTCAGTGGCACCACGCTGTTGCATGCAAGTCTGCTCTTGGATCCAAACAGCATTTCAACAATGAAAACAGGGTTGTATGGGCTTCAGTGGGATTGTCTGCAGGAATCAGGTGATTAAATTTTGGTCCAGTATTCTCTATCAGTATCAATTCTAGTTAACTGGCATACATTTACATACAAAAAAAATTATTCATGTATTTTACAAAAGAAATTGAGGGCTATAAGCAAATTACCAATACATAGTTCATACCAATACATTTAAGCCCCATTTTGAGGATTTAATGGAGTTTTAAATAGTGCATAAGCCTTGTGTGACCCCTAGCAAAAACATACGTGAATTTCACCCTCCATGAACAACTTTCTTACAGGCCCCCACAAGGTGGGTAGTGCACCACTCCTTTGCCTCCCTCGCAAATGCAGTCATCCACTGTGTCTGGGGTCCCACTCCTACAAGACTGGTGGCCGCTGGGGTCTGCATAGATCAGCTTGTAGGATCAGAGTTTATTTTGCACATTTCATACCAGTAAACCTCAATTTAGATTCATGTTCTTTGGAAATTGCTAGGTCACACCTTTGGGTTCACATACTTTTTGTATCTCCACTTCTGACTTTGTTCTTTTGTGTTTTTGTAAAGTAGGCTGCATGGCTCTGGATACAGCCTATAACACTACACAGTTTTTAAACACAAGATCCAATAGCTGTGCATCACACATACACAGTGTGAGCATTGTGATGCTGGAATGCAGTTTATCCACTTACCTACCTCCTCCACCAATATTTATTTCACAAAAACAAATAATTTGATCTTAAACATCTAGCCCCCTTGTGTTACTTAACTTGGCATCCCCTTCCCTGACATGATCTCTTTGTCCCATTAGGGTCCCGTTATACATGGGAGAATAAAAGCAGATTAATGAGCAGAGAGTATTCTGTAACCTCATTCCTTTATAAATGATTTCAAGTTATCATTACACAATTATTTGAATTTTGGGAAGATAGCCCCAGGGATCCATTCATTGAAACAAAACACAAAAAGGGCAAATCTCACTGCAAGATTCCATGCATGTGGTATGCCCAGTTATTACATATAGCCACCTAACGTGACAACACAATAGAGAGTGCAAAGGGTTTAGTCATACACACATTTACACAAACAAAAACCAATACAGGCATACAAAAAGAATCATTTTTTGGAAGTAGTATAGAAGAGTCCCAGTCACAAATGAGAGCTGCATGAATTCTAGTTTACTTGGCTATAAATAAATCTAACATTTTTCTTCTCTCCATGGTAAAAATAAAATAGGAGCACAGATGTATTACACTGTCCTTTGTGTAACCAGTCTCTCCATTTTCAATTATAGTCATCAATCTGTTCCATATAAAATATTTCCCCCACACACACTTAACCAAAGAAATCAGCATTATGCAGCAAAACCTTTTGCTACAAAATAATGTAAATGAGAACATTCCTTTTTTGTGACTATAATTGTTCTTGAAAAATGTAAAAAGGAAGCTAGTCTTTTCTTTAAAAGGATTTCTGTAGTTGACACAGAGAAAATACTTTACATTTATTTAGCACTTTTCATCAGAAGATCTCAAAGTGCTATTTAAAAGATGGGCATGTATTGTTTCCGTTTTACAGATGGGGCAACTGCAGCGCAGAGTTTGAAGACAAACTTTCAAAACCGGACCCATGATGTGTCACTATTTGATTGCCAAACCAGAGATATCTAGCTCCTGATTTTCAGAAGTGATGAGCATCCAAAACCTCAACTGAAATCAGGCTTTGTGCCATAATTTCAAAATTAGTGGACACTTGAAAATGTTGGCTTAAGTGACCTGCTCAAGATCACACAACAAGCCATAGAGAGCAAGCATGCTAAAAACAGAATCCAGGTCTCTCGACTCCTGCACTCTTACAACATTTACCTAGAAACATGGTGGATTTTCCGCCACTTACACGCTTTAAAATTAAGACCGGATGTCTTTCTGGATGAGCTACAGCATTTATTGTAGAAGTTATGGGCTCGATGCAGGAATCACTTGGAGTAATTCTATAGCCTGTGTTACACAGGATATCAGACTAGATCATCATAATGGTCCCCTCTGGCCTTAAAATCTATAAATCCATGACTATGAAAATATTAGAAAATGTACTAGGAATCCTATATTGGCAGACAGATAGAACAGATGACCTAATAGGTCTTTTCCCACCTCCTTAGCTATGAATTCAGCCACTGGACCACACTTCCTCATACATATTTGGTGTGCTACTGGATCACCAAGGTACATATAATGGAAGTCCATTTCGCCAACTAAATACCAGAGGACTCTAATTCTCTTCACCATAGGATAGTTCAGAATAGATGTATATCCTGTCCTGAATACCGTCCATCTGTTTGCTTGAAATGAGACAGCCATTTAATTAAATTGGTAGCAGCTTCAAAAACCATAACCAAGCGATTTAAAGGCAGCAAAGTAGGGTGCCAAAATGGGGTAACTTTTGGACAGTTATTAGTCTACATTCATAATCCCAACAGAAAGACAAAAGGCTGAATGAACATGGAAACAGAGATTTCCTATAGGCAAGAACTGAGGTATATTGGCAGATCAATGTGGAGATACTTGAACTACCCTGACAAAGCCTAAATTTGAGGACTGTGATCCACAGAACCTAGAAATGTCACAGACAATCTCAGCATTAGATAAATGTTTAGCCCCTTTTCATTGAAAAGATAGTAATCATTTTACATTTTCAAGGCTGTTTTTCTTAGTTATCTCCACAGACCCCCACACAGCCCTTCAATTCACTATGGAGACCAAAGTGGGTAGACTATGATTAAATGCACTGGTATAGTGAATGCTTCCACAGAAAAGAATAAATATCTGCATTTAAAAAAATCAGATTGTGATGATCAATAAAAAGTGCTAAAAAGACATATAAATTATGAGAAATACTTTAAAACATTACTTAACATTATTTCTTAAACCAGTCTATACACATTCATTTCCTATTTGCCACTTAGAATTCCTTCAGAAACCCAGCAAATATAATTACTGCACGGGTTAAGACTTCTGCTTAAACCTCAGATGGTTAGTTTCCTAGCAGGGTTACTACACTGTCCCAAGATCATGCCACAAAGCAAAATACAGTCGAATCATAAGACGATTTTTTATCAACAAGCAATTTACCATTTCACTATCCTGATATGAGATTTCCTAGGGTTTTTTATTCCACATATAGAAAACGGATACATTTTCCCCCCATGGGCGATATGTTAGTTTGATTTTATTTTCCCTGACATTTCACCTGTCAGATTATGATAAATATAAGGGACAAAGAATAATTGTCACATTCTCACTGAATTTCATCATCAAATATCTAGACAAATTAAATAAATTGGAAGTGTAATCCTGAGGGAAGACATGAATGATGAAAACAGTGTCAGATACCCAAGTCATCTTCCAGGCACCCAGGAAGATAACAGAGGTTTAAAATACTCAGAAAGGGAGCCTATGCAGAAGAACCTTCACACTGTATTTTTTCTTCAGCTCCTTGTAGCACCAATACTGTAGTAAGTAGAAGAGAGAATTTTTGTACAGACCCAAGAGAACCTATATAAAAGGATGAAGATAAATACATTCTGTAAAATGCTATTTGCCAAAAGCAATTATCATGCCAAGAAAAGGTAGCAGGTTATCATGATATAGTATAAACATATGCTAATTAGGTGGCAAAATGAAAAGATTCATGAGATAGAATCCATCAAACATAAACCTGAAAAACTGCACCCGCACTTTGCAGGTTCACAGTCTCTCTTGCTCTCACTGTGAGTCATGAAAACTTACCTGCTTGACCAGTGGTAATACTGACAGCTGCAAAGAGCCTCTGGGAACGGCTCAAGTCAGATACCCCATTTACAGCTTCCACTTCAAAAGTGTAATTAGCATGAGCCAGCAGGTCCAGGACAGTGACGTAGTTATCTACTAATCCAGTTTGCTGGGGCATATATCCAATGTTACTCCCACAGGGAACACATTCACCCTGCTCCCAGCTGCACCTTTTGCACAAAATTCGGTAGGTCACATCATTTCTTCCCCCATTGTCGGCAGGAGGACTCCATTCCAAACTCACGGTAGTCTGGTTGATATTGAAGATGAGGTTCTGTGGTGCAGATGGAGGTCCTTTGTAACACACACAAAAAGGACAATGTAAATACATGAAATCAGTGAGAGACATTTACCTAGTGTTTTAATTACTGAGGCTCAAATTAGATGAAGCATTTTTCTTCACATAAACATTTCATTACATTTACTACAAACTACATAAAAGCCTCCTTGACCTCACTTGGCAAAAAGCTTTATTTATTTTCCATTAAGGAATCAGGATAACAATTGTCTGTGTATTTACTGCAACTGACTTTAGCCGTTTTTCTTCTGTGCAATTAAAAGGATCAGTTAACACACCTCAAAAGTTTACTCTTACAACATTTTTAGTATGGGGATTTTTTCCCCTTTTAAGCAAACAGCACAGAATGCATTTAGGCATTCCTTAATCAGCTCTGATTGATTTACAGCAGTATCTGGGTACAGCTTTGGATTTTGGAGACTTTCATTACTTGAACCACCAATCTGTGTAGGTTAGTCTATTTGCAGATGGAATGTTAAGCTAGATCCCATTACATTTCAATCAAAGTCCAAATCCACACAGGTTACTTTTCATTTTGCATTCAATTCATTTTTGTGTAGTATCATATTAGGCATACAGTCTGTGACAATTTTAAGACTGTAGGAAAACCATGCTTGCATTCTTTCTATTATGTCTAGTTATGTATTTACCCAGTAACTTCTCTTTCCCAAGGTTACATCGGGCAAACATGAAATTATATTTATGTTGATTCTATATTCAGTGTACATTTTCCCATTGCAGTTCAATTTCATTTATCAGTTTCATTTATTACTTTGCAAACATACTGAAGGCCAATAGTAAGTACTAGTGAGAACAAACTACAAATGGCTGTACCCAGTTGGTTAAGCAACGTCCTTCACTATTAAATTCATGACTGACTCACTTGTGCACGCAACATATGGTGGATCAGAAGGTGCTCTATAATAGCTATCATCACAATCACATCGGGAAGATCCTTCCTTGTCAGAGAAACTGTGAGTAGGACAGCGAGAGCACTGTAGATCTTGCGAAGATGATTTGTAGAATCCTCGGCCACATGCTAAGGGAGAAGAAAAAAAACTCAGATATACACTTGCATGTGCATCTGCCCTGCTTTCTTCTCCATCTCAGTTATATGGAGAGTTCCCAGAGTACACAGAGAAAGTGTGCATGCTACCCCATTCTTTTGGATCACAGAATCATAGAATCATAGAATATCAAGGTTGGAAGGGACCTCAGGAGGTCATCTAGTCCAACCCCCTGCTCAAAGCAGGACCAATCCCCAACTAAATCATCCCAGCCAGGGCTTTGTCAAGCCTGACCTTAAAAACCTCTAAGGAAGGAGATTCCACCACCACCACTGTAACCCATTCCAGTGCTTCACCACCCTCCTAGTGAAAAAGTTTTTCCTAATATCCAACCTAAACCTCCCCCACTGCAACTTGAGACCATTACTTCTTGTTCTGTCATCTGGTACCACTGAGAACAATCTAGATCCATCCTCTTTGGAACCCTCTTTCAGGTAATTGAAAGCAGCTATCAAATCCCCCCTCATTCTGGATCAAGCAGTCTGCTTTCACCAGGGTGCCCAACCAGCACCTAAGGCCAGTAAGAAATGGAGCCTGGTCCTTCTGGCTTTCCCTTCACACCTCTTCCACTCTATCTGGGCGAGTAGCTCAGGAAGCACTAGGAAGGAGCATTCCCCCTCATGTGCAGTCTGTGACTGTCCTGGACAATTGTGCCAGGGGTATAAGGAGTGGGGAATGGCTCACTGGATCCCCACTCCCACCCCTGTGCACCCACTAAAGGGCTATGGACAACCTAGCCCACTGTGAAGTTACAATATTTGTTTGCTTGCTTGCTTATTGTACCAGCTATTAAACTGTGATTTTTAAACACATTTTCAATCACCAGCATTTATTTTCTATTAAACAAATCACAATGCGTTTTCTTGTTTATAGAGCAAAAACATTTAAAAACCTACCTGAATGTGATTAATGGATATATTTTTAACCTTTACTTCAGTTAACTACTGGGTGGAAAATCAACCTGCACAGGTTATTAAACAGATTATTTTCTAAGTAATCCTCCTTGTTCCCAAACCTGATGGAATGTTCCAAATGGAGGATGGCTGCATCGTACTGAACAAAGGGAAATGCCACCAATGGTAAACAGATTATGACCCCATTTCACCTTAAGTGAAGAAGGTTACAGGGGCACACTTGCTAATATAGCAACCATTGTCAACAGAAAACACGCAAGAGTACAGAATTCCTCTAGAAGCTTCTAATGAAACTCAGGCTCTTTCAATTGCACTGCTTCATTCAAGTTCTGTTCTCCAATAAATCAGGCAACCACAGCACAGACAATTTAACCTCTAAGCCTCTGCTTATGTGTGTGAAAAATTTATTGTGGGTGAAGCTTAATATCAGGTGTTAAAATCTTCACTGGGAAAAGCTAGTTAAATAGTCCTTATAAATCCACAGAAAAAGCATTTGCTTTGGTAACATTCACATTTGATTGGTGAGGCTGTCTCATAGTTACTGATATTTTAAATATTTGCATGTGGTTTTGGAGATCAGATACCACAGTGATGGGCACAGTCTAAAAACACTGGGCCTCATTCAAAACCCATTAGAATCAATGAAAAAAAGAGTCAAATGAACTTCAGTGGGCTTTAGGTCAGGTGCATTGTAGTGTAGTAGCCATACTATTCCACTTAATATATATGAGCACTATGCAACTCTGATATAAATTATACAGGTCAAATTTTCCTCACTTGGACTAATAAAATCCACTCTTGATTTAGTTCATTACAGATGAAACAAATGAAAAATTCTCTGAAGATTTACCTCTGATTTTTTCAATTTTCTAAAGAAAAAGCAGGTCGAAAAGACAATAATCATAATGACATTTTGGAGTTTGTCCTGTTTAAAAAGTAGGGGTTCTAAGCCAAATTATCTGCTTGTCTTCAATGAAGTTGCATTAATTTACCTCAGAAGAGATTTAGCCCTATGTTTGGAAAATATATGTTCTCTTTTATTGATTGTATCCCTGCAGGGTAACATGCCAAATATAGCACCACTAAAAAACAAACATCTAACAAGAATGCCTTAGTATGCATTCATCAGAGCGTTTTGGAACAAACATTTGGATAAACTTGACACATTGAGTTTTCAGATAATGCTAGGAGTTCAAATTTAATGCAGAATTAGTCTTTTTCATCCTCTTTCAAGATTATTCCAAGATTTCCAGGACAAGAGTGAAGAGCACTGATGCTAAACTGTTTTGTAAACATGAACTATAAATAAATATTAATGAATTAAACTTACGTCTATTATTCCAGCACACTCAATTAAGATCCAGCCACCTGACCAAATAATAAGTTTCCTGTCTTGTCTTAGCTAGTCAAGTTCCTCAGAAGATGAGGAAAGCACTGGACAAACACACTGCATCTTCCAGCATGCAGCCCTCTGCAGAGCAAAGAGCAACTTGAAAGGCACAGATGCCTACTGTGAATGCAGTCTGTCCCTCTCAGCAGGGAACATTACAAAGCAAAGATGCCAAAAGAAAATAGAGATTTCAGACAAAACAACAAAACAAACAGAAAACCTCTTTACATTTTTTTTCCTGATGGCTTCATCTAGACATGTATATGCTCAGTCACTTGTTATTTAAAGTAAGTGTGCATTTCTTATTATAGTTCAAAGGATTTGAATGTCTGCTACTAGTCTAAGTGAATGCTCTTTATTCTTGTGCAGTGCATACCAGAGGCAGCAGGATCAGACACTCATTGTATCATACTACAATCTCCATCATCTTTAGTTCTAATAAGAGGCCCATGTGATAGCATTTAATTACTATTCCTTCAACTTAAGCACCCCATAAATATAGAGCAACATTATTCCTGCAATGCATTCCTTAACAGCCTTAAAAAGGTGCTTTCAACTGATTCTACCACGAAGTCTAATAGCAAATTGTTACCAATATCACACACAAAAAGGTTTTAAGAAATTTAAAAAGGGATATATTCAAGGTACCGTACATTATATTAAAAAGGGCAATGCTCCTCTTTTTCTGGTGGAATTAAAGAAACAAATTAGCTTATTGCTATTTTTTCCTTTCTAAATTTTATTTTATTTTTAAGTCTGAGATGGTTTCTGTTCTTTTAAGCTAAGACAGGACATTTTCTATTGATTGTTTTTCCCCTTGGCTCAATTTCCCTGAATTGTCAAAATTTAATTTTTTTAAATTATAAATAATTAAAATATATATTTTGATCTAATGGAGAAAAAAGACTAACATCTCTAGATGGTATTTGAAAGGTCTGTGGAGCTGGAAAATTTATCTTTTTCAGCAACAAAAGTTGGTCCAATAAGAGATATTGCCTCACCCAAACCGTGTCTCTCATTAATTGTAAATAACCATTTGCCAAAGAAATACTAATGCTATCCGTAGACCTGTATGTATAGTATTATCCTTTCGTAACAACTACTCTGTAGCTAAGGCTGAGGTGGTGATTTCAATTAACTCCTAGTTTGCTTTTGATCCTATATCTCTCAATATTTTGATACTTTGCCTAGGTAGCAAGTAGCTTTGTTTTAAAATTTCAGATTTCGCATATGTGGTGGTCCTAAATGGGAAAAAGACAATTTGCCGTGTTTGAAAAAATAACAGGAGTCACATTTAAATGTGGCACGTGGTGCATGATGAGCAAAACAACGAAATTATTGTTCATGCCACATTAGCACCTAGAGGCCCCACATAAGCTCAGAGCCCCATTGTGCTAGGTACTGTACAAATATGTAGGAAAAGACAACCTGTGTCCTGAAGAGAAATAATAGAAAAAAGCCTGAAAGGGGGGAAACAAAGGCACACAGAATGAATGCAAATTGCCCAAGGTCAAACAGTACATCAGAGCTGGGAACAGAACTGATGTCTCCAGACGCCCTGTCCAATGTACCATATTGCAGTAACTCTGGGTATTTCCTAGTACACATATGGCTGTACTGGGAATTGAAGGGTTGAAGCTCTCTAGTCCGGCACCCTCGAGACCTGACCAGTGCCGAACCAGAGAATTTTCCAAACCACAGGAGGTCAATGCAGAGTGCCAGAGGGTCTCCATAGGTGTAGGAAGTAGGGATGCGGCGGGTGCTGCAGCACCCCCAGGCTTTGCACCCAGCGTGGCCCCCTGCCTGTGGTCCCCGCTGCCACCCGGGGTCCCGGCCACCAGCCCCCCGACTGAAGGTTCCGATGCCGGCCCCAGGTCCCAACCGCCAGACCCCCGTCCAGGATCCCAACCACCAGCCGCTCTGCTGCCACCCAGGTCCCGGCTGCTGGCCCCAGGTCCCAGCCGCCGGCCCCTCTGCTACCGCCCGGGGTCCCAGCTATCAGCCGCAGGACTCCGCAGCCGCCCCCAGCTGTGGTCTCAGCCTTATCCCTCTCCGAGCACCTCACTGCCCCAGGCTGGGACCACAGCTGGGGGCAGCTGTGGAGGCCCGGGCCAGGGCCAGGAGCGGAGCCCAGCGGCCAGGACCCTGGATAGCAGCAGAGCCCCCGCAGCCCGCGGCTGGGACCATGGGCAACAGCAGAGGGACAGGCGGCTGAGACCCTGGGGCCGCTATTGGAGCCCCCAGGTGGGGGGACCGGCAGCTGGGACCCCAGGCGGCAGTGGGGCCCCCTGGCGGGGGGCCCCACTGGGTGCAAAGCCTGGAGGTGCTGCAGCACCCCCAGCACCCCTACTTCCCGTGCCTATGGGTCTCTTATTATTTTTATCTCGCCACCGAGGTGAATAAACTGAACAACGCTTGCAAGGCCGCCTAGCCAAGGCTTACGGCTCACTTCATAACAAAGTGTTAGTGTTGTTACCCAATTTTACTGTATTGGCACAAGGAAATAAGTAGATAAAGCATAAAAACATAAAATAATATGATAAATAAATAGATAATAATACAGGCATATCTATAATTTACTCATCTAAAATGATTCCTTCCAAAGTGATGTGACAATAACTGCTAACTCAAGTTACATCTGGGGTCTCTGCTGTAGGTATATCCGGAG